AGAGTGTGGTGGAATGACGTGCGGCAAAGGAGCAGGTCAGATTCATTTCAGACTGCCCGCTTTGAGGAATGAAGCCTCTGTTAAATTGTTGTAAATTATTTGTTGCAATACTCATGATGTCTTTAGTGTCAGTCACAGCTTGTCACTGCCCCAGTTTTAGTGCTCCTGAAATCCCTGCCCTTTTGCACCATTACATACAAATGAAAACTTGATACATAAAAAAGTGAGGTACAGATTTTATACAAGGGGCAGATGCATGCATGTATGCTTCTTTATTTCTGAGCTTAAAAACTGATTTTAAAACAAATAATGAGTTGATTGAGTGGACTGATACATTTCTAATGGCAATAGCTTGTCTTCGTAAAAAGACCATAACGGTCTACAATGCTCGAGAAAGATGTGAAATAATTTGGCATGGGAACAAAGCGATTTGAACTTGTTTTATCAACCAAACTTAATATGACATTCTTTTTTTTTAACATGCGTTTATTGAATTCTTATCTGAGTTTGTATGCAATGTATCCCATGAGACTTGGGATGTTTTGGCACACTTTTGTTGTGGTCTGTTGGTCAGCAGCTCTTGAGAAGAGCTGAAAGAAGAGACTGGACTGAACACAAAGCCTTCTGTACAGGGGATGTAAGCAGAGCCCGCTCTAATCAATCTGCTTGACCACGACAAAGGGAACCCTGGCTAAGGTTACATCCTAGCTGAAGCACGGTGTGGTGGTGGTTCTTGTGGGTAACCTAAGACAATAATACCTGTTAGGGTGTAAGAACGCATACACAAACATTCATCCACACACACAGAGGAGCACACATAGTACCCGTAGATCATCACAAAAACACACAGAAAGGCACAGGGGTACAACCACAGGAACACAGGAACACACAGATATTCATATTCCACGACTCACACTTTTTTTACCCTTACACACGTGCACATAAACACACAAAAGAAGTAGACAGAAAGCTTGTGGGCGCAAAAGCAGGAACCTGCTGAAGTAAAGGGACTTTCATCTACTTCTGAAGAGCCATATCCCCCTCTCTCTCTCAGTAGTGAAGTGCACTTTCTCAGAATGTGTGCCTGTATGCCATTGCTGCTCACAGGACCCTGACACACTTTGTGTGCAGTGACAGTAGGATGAGGAGGAACAAAGTCTGTGCGGATTATCCACAACGCGAGAATCCAAGGCAGTGTGACGGTCTGCCCAGAGGTCTGTTTAGCTTTGTGTCAAGGAGACAAGTTGGATGCCACCATCACCATCAGGTTGTTCAATGTGGCTACATTGAGAACGCAAAGGTTTTTGTGGTGCGTGTTTCACAAACATCCAACATCCTGCACATCACAGAAACATCTCCCAGTGAGGAGGAGCTATTATTATCTTAGGTACAGCAAAGCCTCTTAGAGATCTTTATTTAACCAGATTGGCTGTCTGATGTATGGACACTTGAGGAGTGTGCGCAATCAAGGCCATTCATAAAACAAGAGTACCGCTGCTTGCTTCTTTTCTCTTCTCTTCTCTATGCTTTCCTTGCTTTTCCTGTTCTCTCCTCCTTGACCTCCTGTCCTAAGGTCACTGGTGTTTGGCTCAGATCAGGGGGTTTCCCACCACCCACCCCTTCTTTCACACTGAATGGTTTAAGGTAGCAAGCTAATCTTATCTGAGGGCAAGGAGAGGGCTCTGGGCCAGGTAACATGGTCGTCCCGTCTGACCCATATCTGTGATCTGTGTAATCACTCTCTTAAACGTGGTTTATGATTGTTAGAAATATGCCAAAGTATGCAAATGAATGGATTGTTCGTTGCATTGTATCTTGAATATTTATTATAAAATTCTTGACAATAACCATTAACCATACAGCAACTGCAGGACAGAGAGTGGAAAAGAAATGTGTAAATTACATGACACACAAAAATGATTTATACTTGAACTTAGAATTTTAAATGTAAGACAACCCAACAGAAGGATTTCTAATCTGTTATCCGAGCAGAGTGAGGAACAGACAGTCTGGAGACTGCTCTTATTACTTTAACCAGGCCAACACAGACATCTAATACAAAGTACCAGACTCTAATCTTATGACTTTTTAAGATGTATATTTTTTTTATATTTTTGATTTGATATTGGGTAACTGATGACTTGTTATTGCCAAAAATGTGTTTTAACATTGCGGCCAAATTGCAATTCTTTCTACTTTTTGACTTGTTAGTTAGGTGACCACATTTCACAATATTCAAAGCATAGTGTCAAAAATGAAATATTAATATAGAGAGGTCAACCTCCATTATTTAATTCACTACATTCTTTAGTTTTGATAAACAAACTCACTTTCCAAGTAATTTTTGTTACATAACAATGTAATGCACAAATTAAGTCCCAAAGAGGAAAATAATATATGAAACACATTACCAGATTTATGCACATAGAAGCAACATTTTGACTGCAACTTCTTTCAACTAATTTGCCCTCCCTATTTGCATGCAATTAGCACCTAATTTTATATGGTAGCAGCTGGTTACTGGGTCAGCACCTGGGACTGCCCTGCCTTGCACTGAATTATCATTATTTTAAATTTACTTAGTGTGATTCAACAGAGTTTAAAGGACACTTAAATGTAGCAGAAAGTATATCCTCTGAAAATAACTCTGTGAGTCATGACTGTCTACAATGAGTGTGACACCCGAGTCCCGCTAACTGTGGTGCTTTCTGAGTCATATCTACAGGGTGTTTACATAGACGGGCCGGCCGGCTGGCTCATCCCCTTGCCTATAAAAGTTGTTTAATTGAGGGACTAGAGAGAAGAAGAATAACATACTGTACTCACTGCTTTTTGAATGTCACGTAAGCGTTTCTAGATCACGGTCATTTCGTAGTTTTGTACATTCAGTGTGAAGATACGAGCAAAATAAAGAGCGCAAGTATTAGCATGCTAACACAACAATGCAGCGCGAGTTGTTTTGGTTTAATGCTGGTGCTCAAAGGCGACATCTACTGGATCACAAAGTGGTATATTCTGTCTTCAATTAAGCACATCAAGTTGGGTTGTCCAACAGACCTTGAAAAGTCCAGAAATTCAGTGAACTATGCTGGTTAATAAGATACTTTTCTGATGGTATAAAGCATGTCAATGAAAATACAATTTTTATGTGTATTCAACAACAAGGGAACCTTGCGTCTTCAGGGACAATCTCTTTTTAAATAATTTGTCTCAAAATAGTTTTGATACTGATTTGTTGAATTGCAAGTGCAGCTTTTTTGTTTTGGGTGGATTAAAGAGGAAGTAAACAGGGAGAAAGAAAGACACTGAGGTATTTTCTCTTTCATATCTTGAGGGTAGAGGGAACATTTTGAAACCAAGGTAAAACAACAAACAATGGAAGTTAGTAAGTTAATTCCAAGAGTTGTTGTTTTGGGTTCTTAGAGAAAATGGTGATGCCTTTGAAATACCTTCCTCTCATTAGTGATGAGTGTGTCTGTAATTTTTTTACCTCTTTCACTTTACTTTCTTTCTCTGTTCACTTCTCCTAGGTCAAGTTATCATTTAAGAGTGCAGTCTTTTCTTTTCTGTACAGCCTCTTTCTCTTCCTCTCTACTCTGCTGTTCTTCTTTTGCTCCCTGTCAGTCAGTCAGTTGCTGTCGTCAGAGGATCCACTGCTCGGTCTTGTGACAGGCAGGCAGGGCCAGTGGAAGCCTAGCAGCTATAAATAAAGAGATTGCTGCTATGCTGCTGTTGGGTTAAGAGGATAGAAGGACAGAAACCAAAATTTCTTTTAGACTAAAAAATAAGTCATATCATTTGTATGTGTTCATTGTTTAAAGTCTTCTTTAGGATTCATCTTACCTTTAACAGCAAAGCAGAAGTCAAAAGGGCCAAAAAAACAGTTAATGACAAGAAAGCAATGGTTACATGACCCTTGTTTTGCTTTTACTTTTTACATTGCAATTTGAAATGGCTGCATTCTAGGTTTTATTTTATTTTGGAAAGTTCCATTTTTATTTGTTAATTGGCACTGGACATAAGTAAGCATTGAATTTTAAATTGTGATCTTCTACTTGGTGGACGAGAGGAAAACTTTAAAGTTAAAATCTGCATTAAAATATTCTTAAGCCAATGTTTGTTTTCATGTAAGAGATAAAAGAAAAACCTCATTTCCCTATGTCTTCCAACCTGAAAATGTCTCTGATCATCTCACATGTGAAACATGGGGAGTTGGTGGTGGGTACTCCCAATGAAAGCAACGTTTCATTTTCCAATGAAAATTTATCAATAAGCTCTACCAGAGTTGCACCAATGCGGACAATGGGCTCTCGTCTATTTGTTTATATGTGGGAGTGTGTTTGTGTGTGTGTGCTTACTGCCTGTGCCGGATGACCTTTGGTATAAATAGACTGTCGGAGCTAGCTGTGATGACAGCCGACAGCACGCATCGTTGTGTGAATTTGTTTCCTGAGTAGTGCTGTTCATCGGTTATCCCTCTTGGAACAATGCCTGTATGACTGCCTGCTACTGAGCAGCACTGTGGCATCTCATTTCCTGACAGTAGGCTCTATTGTAATTGTAACTCAAGGTGCAACTGCACATGGGTCAGTGGCAAGCCTGGTTCCACTTTAGCACAGGATTGTATATAAACAGGAGCGCAACAAGATGAATACAGTTCTAATATTATGAATGCCGTTAGTGATAGTTGTGATTGAATAACAGTTAAGATACCAATGGCTGGTGTGTCTTCAGGGATTTTGTTTGATCTGCATAAACACAACCTTAGATGCGCTACTGTCACTACTGAATGTGGCATTAAGAGCTGTGACACAGCAGTCTGCAAAACTGGTTCTATTTTTAACTTAAGTATGTTAACAACATGAGCTTATTGACAACTATTATTATTTATTAGATAATAAGAGAAGCTAAACAAAAAACATTAAGTCATAGTCATCAGTTTTCCCTAAAATGATTCTCAGGATATATATCATATTGTTATCTTCCTTTTCTTCTGCTAGATCTGGAGCCTGATGACAACACATCATTCTACATCCTGAATGTGGCCCAGCCCCAGTCTATGGTCACCAACCACCAATCTATTGGCCTGACTCGTCATGGCATGCAGTCCCATTCCCAGGTCATCAACAGCTCCCCACGCTTTCAGTCGCACAAACCAGGATCTGAGCCTCCCAGCTATGAGGCACACGACTCCAAGTACGGCACCTCCCCCCTGCTTCCCTCTGCTCCTGTGGAAGCACCCAAGGCCTTTGAGTGTCCCAGTATACAGATCACCTCCATCTCCCCCAGCTGCCAGCAGGAGATGGATGCCAATGAGGACGATCTGAGAGCCAATGGGCCTGATGGGGACTACCACGGTGATAGACCGCTGTCCAGGGACCACTTGTATTTACCCCTGGATCACTCATATCGGGACTCCTCGCTCAGCCCGAGCCCCTGCAGTAGCCTCTCCTCTCGGAGCTGGTTCTCTGACGCCTCCTCCTGTGAATCATTCTCACATGTGTACGATGATGTTGACTCAGAGCTAAATGAAGCAGCTGCCCGCTTCACCTTGGGCTCCCCACTCACTTCCCCGGGCTGTGCTTCCCCTCAAACCAGTGGCGTTTTGGAAGAGCAGCCACACTGGCAGCACCACCACCCTGCTTTTGTGCACCACTCACAATCCATCAGCCTCTCACCCAGACAGTCCCCCTGCCACTCGCCGCGTACCAGTGTCACTGATGAAAATTGGCTTAGCCCCAGACCACCTTCCAGACCTTCCTCACGTCCCACTTCACCCTGCGGAAAGAGGCGCCATTCTAGCGCTGACATCTGCTACTCCAGCTCGTTGTCTCCTCACCATTCACCTACACCTACACCAGGACCCTCACCCAGGGGCAGCGTGACAGAAGACACCTGGGTTGGCAGTCCTTCAGTAAGCATGTCACCCTTCCAGTGCTGCCCATCTGAGGTCGATATCCCATCCAAGACAAGGAAGACCTCCCAGGACAGAACAGTTATGCAGACTGGGAAAGGGGAGCCAGGGCTGGATGATCAAGGAAACATGTCCCCAAATCTTGACTCGCCTTCAGACGAGGCCCTGCACAGCCTGAAGAAGGACGGGCCAGGGGAGCAGTTTCTGTCAGTGCCCTCCCACTTCTCATGGAATAAACCCAAGCCTGGTCACACACCTATATTCAGGTAAATTTGATGATGTTGTGCAAAAAAGCAGAAAAAGGGGGAACAAACTCAAGGTACCGGTAATCTTTTCTAAATTCAGCACAATCTCGTAGATGCAGTCAGCTAAAAATAATCCAGTTAAGACCCAGTGGAAGTGAAGGTTTCGGAAAATTAAATTAATGTATATATAGTTTTAAATGTCAGCAAGGACTTTTTCCTCTTGTTGAAACAACTTTCTTTTGCAATCATTTATTTTCTACTTCCTGTTTATATTTGAATTACTTGGTTACAGTTGTTGTAAACACTATAAACACACAATTATGGCTTGGCAAGAAAGTTCATGCTGTCAGTTTAAAAAAAAAAAAAAACTATTACAGGGTTTAACAATAGAACTCAGTGGTAAAGGTATTTATTGACCCTTCTGAGCTGTCATAAAGATTGACAACCACTTTTGATCAAGGCAAGAAGTGTAAATATTGCCATGCAATAAATAAGTACAATCAGCAAGATGGATAAATAGTATGGCTGTAGCTAAAACTTCAGATCAATGTTTAGTAATCAAGGAACTTTGAACTTAGTATCATCAGTACAATCTGGCCTAATCAAACCATAGAGTGACACAGGTTGCTCAATGTGGATGGAAAAAAACTAATAGCACCAGCTTTTCCTAGAATACACACATGTAAACACAGGCACCCATCTCCACATGAAGGAGTGATGGATGCAATCAGAAACTCATGATAGTTTTTTTTAGAGGAAGGGTCTACTGGGCTATCTGTTCTCCAATGTGGGCAGCAGATGAAGACATGGCCTTGTTTGTGTTCACTGGCCCCTAGCACTGTAAATCAGGCACATATGGCAAGAGGGACACCACACACACACACACACACACACACACACACACACACACACACATGCACACACACACTTGCTTGGAGTTGGTAGCTTTATTGTGACAAACACAACAGCTACTGTTTTGAAACTCAGCTGTTTACCTTTACCTTGATCTACAAAGATTTCTTGAAGAGGCATTATAAAATTGGTATACAGTGCACATTCTATCCGTTGAATGTCAAAACTACGTACGGACTATACATTTGCTATTTGTCAAATTAATGTAGTTATCGTGTGAAAATGTGCCCAATGAAAACTAAAATAGATCTCAAAGAAACAAGAGGACACAAGAATACATTATATTTATGTAGTGGAAAAAAAATTCAGTAATTGGTGCTTTAAAATTAGGGGTGTCAAACTATTTATTTCTTTAATCGCCATTTATTGCTGAATTTCAACATTTGATTAATTGCACTTATATTTTTGCATTTCATATTAGTTTTTGTTATGCTTTTATTTTATAATTAATAAACTCATAAGCAAGGTACTTTGCTTCCTGTTTGGATGAAAACCTGCTTTATTTTGAAAGAACATAATGAACTTCCGGTAGACAGAAAGTTACTGCAGTAACTTAACCACTGAAAATGAAAATCATTATGGATTGAAAACTAAATGAAAAGAGCTAAAGGGAACAGTGAAAAAGTAAAAGTACTATACAAGGTGCATAATACTTTTGACTCATCAACTGAGCCATCTGGGAGTATTTGCAGTGAAATGAGACAAGCAATAGTGCATCAGTGTTGCTATTTTCTATCACTGTGAGAGCAGGAAGACGCTACAGCAACTTATCTATGGTGTGCCAAAAGGGACAAATAGCACAGGATTAATAAGATAAAAAATAGTATGTGTTAATTTCAGAACCTAAAGGAGCACTATGTAACTAAAATGTAGCATCATGTTTATCAGCTCTGCCTCTGTCTAGAAACCTTTCAGCGCTCCAACCTCTCTTCATTTTTCAAAGCATCTCCAAAATGTTTCCTCGTTTTACCACATTTCTGGTCGTGGAGCTTATTAGAAAAATGCAGAGGCATTTATATCGGGTAGAGTCGGTTATATCTGAACCTGTTAGTTGCCCGCTTCACTTCCATCCCTGCAACACCTGTTGGTTTGCCGTTTGCCTGGCAAACCAAGGGGCGTCCAACACGGCCTTGTGGGGGTGTCTTAAGACAGCCAACCTTCTCTGTGCTTTGGCTGACAGTCCAAATAAAAATAGATCAGAGTGCAGTGTTTGATGTTCTAGGGAAGCTCTCCAGACCCTTTCTTACCTGAAGGTGCCAACTATTAGATGGTAAATATTAACTATTTCATGGTAAGGACCAAAATGTTTTTGCTAAAAACAAATACAATTTTACATAGACTTAACACAGTATTTGTGTACTTAAAATTATATGTGGAAACTAGCTTGTTTGAACTGATTGGAAACTTGCAAAATAGTCTTAAAAATCAGCATGAAATAGAATTGCAATAAAGTATTTCTCGTAATCCTGCCATAAAAAACGTGATATATTTTGCCCATATCGCCCACCCCTTAGCTGTATAATATGAAATATTTTACAACAGTCATAAGTTGGTTTACAAAAGCTCTATATATTATCAATGGGCCTGTATTACTCTATGTCAAATATGTTATGTAGAGTTCAAGTCAGTGTACCAAGCTTAGGCTAGAATTTTATTATAAATTAAGCTGGAAAGTAGCCAATATATCACTGGAATAATTGAAAGTCTGTGTTGTGCTAATTTGTTTTATGAATGAAGGATACAAGTATTTTATGAGGAATTTATGAATTTGTTTTTGACAGCAGATGTACACATTTAGTAACTGGCTAAAGGGTGTATACTTACTGGTCTTCCATGAAGCAACAAGTAAAGTTATAAACTAAAGTTAAATTTCTACAACTAAACATGTGACTCCAAAATACATGTGACAGCTGCAGATGCAAGATACAGTATTCAGTGGAATTAACTGATGTTTTTTTCAGACTATAGAGATATCAATGTAGGTTGTGGGGATTGGGTTGGACTGGGCACACTGACACCCTGGATAGACATTTGAGAAAGGTTATGCCATGTCATGACATGGGCCGCTGTTCCTGCGCTGCTGTCACAAAGCTCATATTTCCTATGTTCTACTCTACTCCTGTTACCGTAGCAGCCACGCAAACCCACACTTCCTGGGCCGTTATGTCATGGCTGCCATGAGGAAACATATGGGTTAGGATGCCACTATTGCACTATTGTAGATCTTAGACAGAGCTGCTGATAGATGTTTTGAAAATCAAACTCAAATATATTGTGCGCATATCCATCTATTTTTATTTATTTATTTATTTTACAATTTAAACATTTCCAGTTCTTTTTAAGGAAGAGAAATAAACAAAATAAATCTTGGTTATGTGCCTATATAAACATATCATACTTGGCCTAAAGTTGTCTTTTTAAAAGCTTTCCATGTTTATTGTGGTAGGAGAATCTGTAGAATGGAGCTTGTCAGGTTTCAAGCCACAAGACTTCATTAAGCTGATCAAAACAAAATAATATCAGCCATGTGCATTTTCATTCCAAAATGCAGTCTTTCCTTCGGATTTGGTGCCAGTCTTTAAGGTAGTTTGTGAAGTGAAGTAGCTGCACTGAAAGCCTGAATAACATGTTTTTAATTCAATGTGATTTGTCTGAACATAGCCAGCACTTGACAGTCATTTGGAATAGGAAATAATTAAGGGAGTCAATCCTGTTGCCTTAAAGTTTACAAACTTCACTTCAAAAATTATATGTGCTGTCAAATATCTGTCATGCAGTCCACTTGCATGCTAGGAGCCTGTACCGCCTCGAAATAAAAGCTTAGGCCACCATGTAAAGGGTGGATGGAGAGCCTACAGTGGCCAACACTGCTGAAAAGTTCAAAGAGAAGCATGAGGTGGGCCCATTATACTGCACGTGCCTGCAACTGCCTGTCACTGACTCAGGCCTAGCATACACAGCCATAGACATACAGACACACATGCATGGACACAATGGGAGTGTGCATAATCTAGGGCTGTGTATACATACACAAGAAAAGAAAAGTTGCCAGACAAAACACCTGGGTGACCCACATACAGCCTGTGTTGTCCCAAACTACGCCTCTTTGATATTGAATAATTTATTTTGTATACTCCCCAAAATGTGATTAAGGATTTCATTGTGGCTTTTACTAAAATCTAAGAACCTTGCCAAGTTAAAACTATGTACTGTTTTAGTACCTAAAGGGATATGAATTGAAACTATGTAAACCAATACATTAAGCCCTGTTAATCATAAATCTTTAGAAAACTTAGTTGAATAAACTGTGGATAAGCAATGTACCACCTTATCGATATAACTGGAAAATGAGACAAAAGTTAAGTTTTCCCATTTTTATTTATTTTTCCCATAGATGATTTTTTTTATATGACTACAATTAAAATAGACAAAAAATGCATGTGGCATTATACTCTAAAATCTACTTTTTTTTGTGTAATCAACAACATTTGGAAAAGATCAGGACTTTGATGCTAATGGTTGATTTCAGTATTTACAAAATGTTTTTCGGGAAAACTCAACTAATGCACTCAGATTGAGAGACCCAGTTTCTATGTAGAGAGGCCAGAGAGTTTTTAGTTTTGAGTGCAGCTGTTCAAATATGATTGTGGCCTACACAGACAAAAAAAGACGCAGCGAGGAAAAACACACAATGTCAGCTCCTGTGGTGCACTGCACGTGTAATTTACTCTACAGTGTTCACACAGACTCACACTCACAGCCATTTACTCACTGTCTGACAGACACTCTCATCCCACCAGCCATTCACTGACCCGCACTGAAGACTCACAAAAGAAAAGCCCCTTTAGAAAGTGATTCATCCAAACAACTTTAACATGGCTTGTTACAAGTGCTATGTATAAGAACAGAAGTAGTGCATATGGGCATTCCAGTGATTCATTGTCTGCTGGGGCTAAGTTCACTGCATGTTATACCCCCATTTTAAACCTATTATACCGTCTCTGACCATGAAAGGGGAATACCTCAGGTTTTTAACGTTTTCTGAACGGACCTTTTTAGCAACCATGAAGTAGAACAAGATGTTGTCTTGATTGACCCTACTCTGGGATTTTGCATTGATTTAAATACCTGTACAGAATTATAAAAAAATATGGAAAATCATATACCAAAGCTTTTATATAATTTGTGTATAATCTATGTGCATGCTTGTGGTCTTTTTTCTCCTCAGGACCTCCTCACTGCCTCCTCTTGATTGGCCACTGCCAAGCCAGTTCGGCCAGTATGACCTGAAGATAGAGGTGCAACCCAAAGCCCACCACCGAGCACACTATGAGACAGAGGGCAGCCGAGGAGCAGTCAAGGCAGCATCCGGAGGCCACCCAGTTGTCAAGGTAACAAAGTTGGACATTTTCACACATTTTGGGTAACATTATACTACTGGATCCGAAGCAGTCTTAAAAACTGTTTTTTTCTCTGACATCATATGCAAATAAAAACCCCAAATTCCTTTAACAGAGCAAGAGTCCATTCTTTGTTCTGTTAAACAAATTGGAACACAGATGTGTATGCTAGACTAGGGATTACATTTCTCTCTGTGGTCAGAACTGATTTATACAATAATAATAATAATAATATCAACATTGCACCAAGCATTTATTATCTAACTCCCAGTGAATTTACCTCATGCAGAAGGTAATCCCCAGATGTGTGGATAACTTAAAACATATTTGATCATCACACTTTAAACAGGGAGAAAGTTTTCATACTTGTAATACTATGAGCAATATTTGCATTATATTATAGCTAAAAACATCAGCCGAATGTTGTGAATGAGAACATTACATCGATGGTTTCATTTCACATATTTGCATGTATGGTTTTGTCACACATGGGTCCTCTTCCACAGCTAGACTGTAAATCAACCTGTTGAGGCAGGGAGCCACCCAGGCAGGCAGGATTATGTCACTGCGGCCTGGTCAGCTGGTTGTCATTTGATAGCACCTGTGAGAGACCAGGTGAGCCTGCACAAAGCTTGGGCTGCTGCAAGAGAGCGGAGGATATCAGTCCCATTAATTTTTTAAAACCACAGTGACAAGCTTCCTTTGTGTGTATGATTAAGAGCTGGACCATGACAACAATGTGACTTGCATCCATTCTACCAGTATAACAGTAGTGCCTATAAATATTTTTTTCATGTTTTGAATTGTAGAACTGAATAGTCATATTGTTCCACGGACAAAATGTTCATAAATGGTCAGAAAGTACACTGTTGTTACAAATCACTTACATGATCTGATAGTCTCTATAATCTTGTGAATAATTAAAAGCAGTATATTTTATCTGTGGTAGGAAAAGCACATCCACATGTTTGTATAAGATTTATTCATATTTTGATTTGGTATTATTGTGTTGTAAATGATTGGTACTTCACGTTGTAGGTAGGGATTTCCTAAGGCTACTTTAGTCACCATTTATTTTGCACACGAGACAACGTTAAAGCTTTTTGAAAATTATGTTAAACAGCTGTGGATAGAAACATTTTCTGATACAACATGAAAGGCTAATTCGCTGCCATTTTAGAATTAGAAACAGCATGTGTCCTCATACATTCAGTCATGCAGGCGCCCTCCAGGCCAATCATTAACCATTTCAACCTCAGTTAGACCAAGATTCTATCCTGCCATATGTGACAATGCATAATTTATCTGCCAAATTTTTTTCAACTGAGCGTTTGCCACGCTTGCCCTCATTCCCCATCCCCAGAGGGAAATGTTGGTTATAGCAGTTTCCTCTCAGAAGCTTGTGAGTAGAGCTTATATCTATCAATGTTGTGTCAGCTGGAAACTGGTCAATAGGATCTACATGCTTAGCTCAGATGTAAGTGGTGTAACAGATCATAAATACCAGCGTCCGTATCGGACCATAGATGTTTGTCAAAGATCGGAAAGTTTTCAGAATTAGCAAAAAATAAGATACTTATAATGTAACTTTTCTACTCCTCAGCTAGCATCAAACTGTGCAATTTAACACACTAAATATCAAAATGGATCTCCATGAATCTTAATAACATATTAATTAATTTTCTTGACCATATGCAAATTGTTACAACTCCAGTAATATTGATACAAGCAGTCAGATTAACCTAATTAAAAATTAAAAAAATTTGGTCATTGATGCACCATTCGACTCATTTTGAATTATTGAAAATCAATGTTAATCAATGATAATGTGCTGTTTTATTGGACTGACTTTAACCCACTTATTTGACCCTGATAGAGAAGTTACCAGAAAAATGTAAAGATGAAAACAAACATCTTGCCTGTGGGTCCTTTTTATGTTTTAGATAATGAACAGCTGGCCTTTTCTGTTTGAGTCAGATAGCATCAGCAGTTGTCTAGCAGGTCTAACAGACAGTGTATTTACTAAACACTCACTCCTTTATTGTTGGTGATCGAAACCTCTTTTCGAAACAAGAAATGCAAAAAGGACAATTTTTAAAGGTTGTTTCTTTGCCTTGTGAAGCCATTACTGTTGTTAAAGAAACAACATCAGTTCAACAAACAATCATACACAAAGCATGCATACTCACAGACAGACACATAAGGGCACAGAAAACACATTGTGTGCTTCTTTTAGGTTTTGCATGCATTGAGATGACAAATATTAGGCCATATCTATAGTATGTGAAAATTCAAGAAAAATAGCATATAGCCAAATCATGAAACTGGAGTGGATATCAAAGTCATTCAACCCATCATTGGGCTGTGTTAACAAGCTTGCACTTAGTATTTTTCCCAGGTGTACTTCAGGTGTGAAGCTAGCTGTTCTCTGGAGGAAGATTGACACTGGTGCCAGCATGTTTGATTGTAGCTTCTCCAAAATTGAATGTAGATTTTTTTTTTACCATGTTTTGGTTATTATAAATCAATTATTCTGCTAGCTAACACTAACACACCCTGTATACATATTGTACCCCTATGTCGCCTGCACCTTGCGGGACCTCTACTTCTCCTTAGGTCTTGACTCTGGGGGCGTGATGTCACCAGATGACGGCATAGCTGCCATCTGGACATGGTGATGACTTCCTTTTGTGGCCACACTGTTGCCCAGATCAATCCACCACTGAGCTGCTGTGTCAACAGAAAAATAAGACAATGTCTTGGGAGGGAGCTGTGGGCCTATGTGTAGTGTACATGTTTTAAAGATCTAAAATGATGTACTTCGGGTGTATGAGGAAGACAAGGAAGCTATTGATGTATTAACCCTTAATTCTGCATTGTGTTTTTTCAGCAGGCCTGACCAAACACTTATTTTATTAGGCAGAATTAGGGTAATGTCTGAAGTCTCTGGATAATTTATTTTAGACTGAGATTGTTTTGGACTCTCATTAGGGACTGAAACAAACAAAAAACCTTACCAAACAAGGCATTAGCAAACTCTTGCAGAAAAGCAACAATGCTTGGCTTTTGTATTTAGTTATAGGTTATAATAATTAGTTGTTTTACTTATCAAACTATGTTTAACATGCTCTAAAGCAAATGTAAAACATTGTGGTGACAAACTACATTTAGTATGAAGGCTTTATGTTGCCCTCTAAGCCTCTGAGTATTTATCCAGAGTGTATGTCAGGTAGCTAAGTTTATTACATGGACCGTTAAATTCCACTTGTACTTTGTTTCTACTCTACCACTTGCATACTTTTTTATTTTAAAAGTCATAGAGTATAGTGTGTGGTGCATTATTATATTAGGTAGTATTTGAAGTAATTGTCAGTCTTTCAAAGGGTAAAACACGAGACTACAGAGCGGTGGGATTGGACACCAACATCAACCGATATTACTTGAGAGAACTGATGTGTGGGTGTTAACCAGCTGCTGAGCAGTCTGGCAATGGAGAGCATACACTTCCTACAGTATCCAGACAAACACAGACTACAAAGCGTGAGAGTGTTTACTTTGAATTGTTTTGACTGACATGATTCATTGCACTGTGTTTTGTGATGCATGCTGTGTATTTATATGCAGAGACTGATCCTCAGGGCTAATGATATTGTAACTAGTTACAGTGTAGCATTGTAGAAGTCAATCTGTCATCAATGTTTGTAAGGCTTTTATTCAGCACAACATAGCACACCATAATAGAGAGCATTCAACAGAAATAATCTTCATCACAATCTAGTGCTTGCAAGAGAAAAAAAAAAAATTGAACCCTGAGAGTTGAAATAAATTATTTACAACAAACACATTTCAATTCTACAGACTTAAAAACAATCATCGTGGTATTCATTCAAAAGAATTGCAAATTTTAGGAGATATTTAAAATGTATACACTCCAGATGGTTCTCAATATGTTGACCACCTGACTTAATTGAAAATAATTGTTCAGTGCATGGAGGATGGCCTTGCCTGTGCATGTCTGACAGGCTACTTTAGCCATTCCTCTGGGGCTCGCTGCAGACCATAATCGGTACACCTGTTGCTAGGAGACATTTAAGTCCAAAGCTTCTCTGGCTGGCTGAGGTATCCTTGTGCGTATTTAACCAGCTTAATTGAGTGCTGCAGCACCCACACAAATATAAGGAGCCCCACTGGTATTACCTGGTGCCATGGATAGAGGCAGGCAGACACAACAGAAAAGAAAATAGTAACAGTTACACATACTGTACTCAGTATTAGAAAACCACATCAACACAACTTAGGACATTGCTTCATTTCAAAAATTGAAGAAAGAAAACAGACAGTTGTAAAAATACGATGCCCATCTTTAAACTTGTTGCGACAGTTAATAAATCTAAATGAAGCCATGGTGTCTGGTAACAAGGATTTGTAATAGAATATGCCAGAAGCTGTCCAAGACAGTCATATATTTCCGCTGGCTCGGATGCATTAAAGGATTTTGATCCGAGTGATTGAATACACGGCCATGACCCCATTACTGTCTGTTTCTGTCATTCACTCTCACATATTCAAAGCTTTTAACCCTTTTCTTTTTTTCTTTCCATCACTTTCTACCTGAGTCGGGTTTGACTGTCTTTCTGTAGTGAAGCCTTTGACTGGCTTCTCTCACGCTCAACGTGGGTCTATCAATGGACTGGCTGTCATAATGGGAGACGGGACACAGACAGCAATGCAAAGCTATGCAGTTTGCACTGTGTGAACCGGCTGTGTATGTATGGGGTGTAGCTTTGCCCCAGGGCTGTATTCAATGTAAACATGTTGGAACCTCGGATCTCATTTGTTGTAATCAGGCTTAGTGCTCAGTGAGAAAACAGTCATTGAGAGGCGAAAGAAAAGTGTGTGTGTGTGAGAGAGAGAGAGAAGAGTGGGGGAGGATAGAATGGGGAATAAGAGGAATTGAGCTTGGACCAGTCTAGTAAGGCCATATACAGCCC